CTTATCAGTACTGCTCCCTGCATCCAGGAACAGCTTCCTAGCAGCCACGGTAAAGGGAGTTAACTCTTTCTAGCACACCACTTAATAACATCTAGTTGTGAGATGTCTGTTTATTTCACTCAACTATAAATGTCCACAATAGAGCAAGGCATTTAGACTCACCTCATTAATCTGCCCTGTGTAAGCCTTTAGTGGAGAATACAGTACATTCATCCCTGTATTGACTAAAATCTGAACACAGATCTAACTCAGATGTGGTCATGAAATTTGTTTAGAAAGAACTTACCTGTATTGAAAGCAATTTTCACAGAATGACATTAATATTGCAGAGAAAAACAAAGCTACCTAATACTTGTAATACTAACTCATTAGTATTATTAAAATATATATATATATATTCAAGAAGATGAATGAGTAGAATATGTAAATTAGGATGAAATCTATACTTCAGGCAAAACGGATTTTGCTGGACATGCAGAAACAATTTGATACACAGCTTGAGACTTACAGTTTGAGATTTAAATAAGAACTTGATCTAATCACTCTTTTCTATCATCTGAATTTCCAGCAGGTGTCCAAATTACTTCCAACCTCTCATGAGCTATAGGGTATGTAGCCCTAGGATATAAGCATTGCTATCCAATAACTGTATCAAGTGACTCACAACATGACTGTTATCTAGCTCATCAGGTAATCCACTATCTTCAGGAAGCAGTCCGATCTTCCTCTCAAAAGTCAACATGGTTTCCTCAGCCCAAAATCTCTAAGAACCTATGTGTGTTCTAAAACTTTTTTATGTCCCGAAGTTCAAAAGCTACTCTGGACTATAAGGTAAAGGGAAGAAACATCTTTCATTTGCCACAGAAAGCATAGTATTTATAATAGAGAGAGCCTCTACATGCATCTAGAACAATTAAAGAAACGGTTTAGTAAAAAGAACAATTAAAGAAACGGTTTAGTAAAAAGTATTTCATGACAACCCACTAAACATATTTATAGATAGATTGATATGACTTTTATTTTACAGAAAGCTAAATAGAGTGTTAGGAAGCAACACAAACCTTTCAAGGATTTATGTTATGGAGCAATAATCCATGTCAAGTGCCATAGATGGCTGACAATGCAATGAGGGAATTAGCACAACATAATTTACACCCTATCGTGCACTTCTGCTTAATTTAGCAGCAAGAACTCAGCTCCCCCTGTGTGTTTCTATAAACATTTAACAACAGAAGTTTCATTCTAGAGATTTTCCTTCAAAATGAACCTGGTCAAGTCTTTACTGTGACAACAGACGGTGATAGTTCAATAACTGTCAGTTAAGAGCTGAAGAATGGCTACTCTGAGGAACTACAGTAATGGCATATTTTAAAATATTTAATTCAACAGTCATGCAAAATCAGGGAGAAAAACCCAAAAAACCCCAACCTCAAAATACACCTAAGGAGAAGAAACAAAACTACTGTCCTAAATGTATTTCTAGAGTAATTATTGATTTTGAGGATTTGTCAGCTTTTAGTAGAATGTTTAATCATTCCACTTTAAAATATTTATACAATAGCAATGTCATCTTGGAGGTTATTATTCTGTAATTCAAAAACCAAAAAGGCATGTCCTGTGTTTCATACAGATGTTTATCAGTACAGCAGATGTAGTCCCATCAGTCCATCTGAGCAATTCAATTCACATTTTAAGTGTAACAGAGATGCGACACGTCTGCAGTTGGAGTGACAGACAAGCCAGCCACCATGACACTTGTGTGTATTCACCTTTACACAGCATCTATAAGTTTACGTTGTTAAAATAAACTCACAGGATCTGATGACAAAGATTTCTCTGTTTCCCCTTATTCAAGTTTCTTAAAAAGAAATCCCCACCAAGTAATAGTTGTGATACACAACACATGCATACTTAACAAAATTATTTATTTTACTAGACATGTACTCTGTGGTAAGTAGCTATCAGACAATTAAATACTGTTGAAATGAGGTTTATAAATGAAACAACCCCAAATTTTCTTTTTCTTACCTGCTGGTTTACTGGAAAATTCCTGTTGATTTTTTTAATCTATAAAAATGAATAAAGAAATAGATTAACACTCAGTCATTAGAAATAAAGACCCAAAAGACTGTATTTTAGAGACATGTATCAGACACTCTCTTCCAAATATGTAATAATAATTTAAAAAAGAATCTCTTGCAGTAAAGGAAATCTTTCACAAATCTTTCACAAGCTTATGTGAATAATGAGATATTTCTGCACTGTGTGGTTCGTTTGGCTATTTAGAATACAGGAAAGGCGAATACAAGCAAAATTATTTCTGAATTCTACAATACTACGTCTTTTACTTTTTTCTGACAGAAGCTGTAGCATAAACTAGGTATTTAACTATATGAGTAATTCAGAACAACTTACTGCCATCCACCAAAGTCATCAAGCTTTAAGCAAATTCTTTTCCTTAAAGAAAGATGGGAAATTGGGCTGGAGTGGCCTTTGAAACATCCCTTACTCTACACTTGTATCCTAGGTGCAAAATCAAGTGTGCAAAATCAGTTTCTGTAACTGTTCAATTATCTTTTTCTTAAAGCATTCAACAGTAACCCCTGGTAAAAAATAAAGAGAAAACCAGTCAGAGACACCTGATTCATGGGGAGTTTGTATTTAGGCTGCAGATCACTGACTCCCATCTAAACGAACACTACCAGCTTTCTGACGCAAAAGTGTCCAGTACAGAGAATTAGATGTGGAACATACCCATTCCTGCCACTGGTAGAATAAAAGTGTTATTTTTTTATTTTAAGCATAGGTCCTAAAAGCTTTTGAGCAAACTTAGCAAGTTTACCACGTGCATTCATGGCAGATAGTTAATACCTAGAATTTATTTTTTGCTCTCCCAACTTTTCCCCAATATTTTTGTAGCTATGGGTAAATGAGTAAAACACCTCTGTAAATTAAAGACATTGTCAACTAGGAATCAATGATATAGCCTTGAAATCCCTGAAAACACAGTGTAACATTTACACTGCTTCAATCAAAGGTATGGTATCTTTTTTGAAGAAAAGAAGAATCACCACTGAATTTCCTCCAGTGTTTACAATATCATCTCTAAACAGATGTGAGCGGCACTGTGTTTTGCAGACTCTCAAAACGGACTGTTTGCTGCAGTGGTAACCTCTTCACATTCTTCATGCAAATACTGAGTAAGTCTGTAAGTCTGTCGCTGACATCCCATAGTTTCACTATTAAAAGATAATTCTCAATGTCAAGAACATCGTGGCAAGCAATTTCAGTTGGTTTTCAAATATATCCTGAATCAAGCGTGTCAGAAGAACATCTCTACTCTCCCTTCTTGCATGTAAATCAGCTTCAGTTTTCTCCTTCCTTCAGTGCAAGTTAAGGGGAAGCATTAGAGGTGCTAGGACATTTGGTGGACAAAGTATTAAAATGAAATGAATCCACACTTTGTAAGATAATATCTATCTTACACAATTTCTTCAAAAAAAAGGTGGATGAAAATAACAGAGACATCAAGACTTTCAAGATTTATTCCTAAATCTGACATGAAATACTCCAGTATGATAAACTCCAGTTTGTGTTACAAGTTGCTATTGAAATACTTGTCAAAACTGTCCATTTGCTTCTAGTTTAAACAAAATCTACAGCCAATACCATGAAAAATTTAAGTTATGAAAGAACATTGTCAACAAAACCAGATGTTACTTAGTCTAAACAAAGTACTGGTAATATCTCTTCAGGGGAGTGTTTAAAGTTACATATGAGGTACATTGACAGTATTTTTGTTTCCTTCATATACAGAGATTAATGTTTTTAACAGAGATCAGGAACATTGGGAGCCTTGTGTACTTTGAATGTTCCTGGGTAATGTAAATGCATGATTGAAACATTCTCATCTCATTCACAAATTTCCACCTCATTTTTTGAAGTATGAACAAAGAATCTACACTGCATATTTAACTGTTGTTACTTTGATGAGCAACAATCATGGTAATTTTTCAGGTAATACGGTGAAAGTTTTTTAAAATATATTGCTTTTAATTACGTTATGGTTTTCAAACTGCATTATAGATGTTCTACCTGAAATTAAAAATCGTTAAGTGTGATCACTTTAAGGAACACTCTAAATGTTTATCATTCATACACATAAATATTGGATGCTACATTTAAAAAAAAAAAAAAGTTATAGAATTAAGCAGCTGAAGTCACTGATCTTTAAGATTATGAAATACACTGTCCTGAGAATGAAAGCAAAAACATTACCCAACACTGGTTTTCCCAGCAAGTTACAAAATACAGAGTAAAATTTGATTTACAGATGATCCAGATTCACCAATCCTTAAGAATCAAAATCTAAATTTAAACATCTTTCATGAATAAAAAGAGAGAAAAAATATCTTCTGTTGCTTGATAGATTTTCTAAAAGAGAAAAGTTCCTTCACCCTTCCATAATGCTACTGAGCCACTGTAATACTATTATTTATTAAGCACAACCACAGCACACAACACTATGAAACTGATGCAAGTGAATAACATTTGTTTTTACCAGAGGACACCAGTACGATATACTGCAAACATGTATGCTCATAATATTTTTAAATAAAAGACCCTGGCAGATAAAACACTAAGAAAGAATGGCAGGCACTCTGAGAACATTCTTTAGAAAGATGTGTTCATCCTAAGCAATAAAAAGTCAGAAGTGGCAGAAAAGGAGACAAAAGAAGCAGCTAGTAAACAAATTCTGTTCTGAAGGCAAATACACAGGAAGCATTATGAAAGATGAACTGAAGATAGCACAAACTACCTGCTTCTACACCATGCTCAAAAAACAGGTCTTGAGGGTTGAAGTTCTGTTCTGGTTTAACTTCCATGAATGCAGATCAGAGAAAAAAAAAATATCTAAGAACACAGTGGAGAAAGTAGTTTGGGATTTGGTGATTGCCTAAATGTGGAAGGAGGAAGAATATGTCAAAAATATGGTCTTTGCAGTGTGTTGCATAGACTAGTAAAAAGACAGGTGATGTTGATATGATGCCAATAATGGAAGAATAGATTTTAGCGTATGCTATCACAGGAGAATGGTATGAAGCCTAATTGATTGTGGCAAGGGTACAAACACATATAACTAGATAAGTTCCAAAAATTCAGCTGGCCAAAAATGTTAAAACACCATAGCCATGAAGAATACCAGACAGGGATATGGTAGGAAGTGAAACATAGAGAAGAATGCACCATGGCCAAATTCAGTTTATCACTAGATGTTGCCACCACAGATGGATAGTTGTCACAGTGACGGCTGTGCCTGCTCTACGGAAGAAATGAATATGAACATGGAACACATCACTCCTCAGCAGGCTGAGCAGATGAGCAGGCTTTGGCTTCAGGTGTGCACAGAGATTGCAACTATTTTATTTTACTTATCAGTCTTCAAGCTAGAGAGGCAGTAATCCAGAAGAATACCGTTCCATACTCCTTATCTTTTTGTGCGAGTTGTACCCTATTAGTGTCACCTTCTGCTGCAACGCAGTTGATTAAGAAACTAGGTTTTAAACTTTCACATTCAGTTGTAACTGAACTGAATTGTTCAATCCTCTGAGAGATACTATTTCAGACCATGTCTGAGCAAATAGCACTGCCATAACTGTTTTCAGTTTTGGTAAGAGGATTTTAAACTGTAATCTCAAAACTGCTATTTATTACAGGTTTGTTTGACCTGTTTAATCTATTTATTTTAATGAAATTTGCTATTCCAGTGTAATAACATGATCTTCATGAGATCATGAGGAAAAGTGACTTTCAATAAGGACTCTTAAAGGCAGTATTATCTAGAAATAAGGGCACTAATTCTAGTTTTTTCCCAATTCTTAAAAATGTGAATAGAAGCAATCATATGTTTGAAAACTCTGTGTCCCATACTTGGTTTAATCCTATTTCTTGAAAAACTGTAAATGAGAGGCTCACAATTCTAATGTGACACTGGGCAATCCATCACAGAAACAGTGAAGGAATTGCCTGCTCTTTGTGTAGCATTTCGAAGGTTGAAACATTATTCATTTCTTCAGGCTAAGCACTTCCATTTCGGAACCGAGGTCAGACTGACAGGTCGCTATTGATGCTATTGTCAAGGAAGTCCTCTCTGGTGACACTACTTCTGCATGCCATCATTGTGAGACACATTTTTCCTGCATGACCAAGAGTATTGACTAGCACATTACAACAGCTCTAACCCCTAAGCCTTCCTGTAAGAGTCTCATAGTCACTTCTGATCTGCTCAGAGTCACACCGAAATCGGTTATGCCTGCATGAAGGAGCTGTCACAGTTAATTGTCATTTAGCTAGATTGCTTTGGCAGCCTCCTTCAGATTTAAGCTGCTGGTAGATGGAAGGTTTCCCACAGTGTTAGGTCCAGTCAGTAGACGGAATTTTTCATCACACACAGGAGTGAGTCACTCACAACCAATACATCTCTTCCTCATGGGAAGGGTGATTGTTAATCTCGCAGCTTATCCAGCCTGCCAGGTTTTCTTGGGGTTTTTTGGCTTGGTTTTTTTCCTCCACTCTGTCATCAGGCTTGAAACTTCAGTTACTTTGGGCAGCCATGTAATGCATCACAGCCTGAGAAGGGATGACTTCCCTATGAAGAAGACATGCAAGTAGAACCCTCTTGTTAGCCAGGTTTTCCTCATTCACACTAGGTGCTATTGTGGATCTTCCTGAGTTTTTGCCAGTCATCCTACCCACTTCCTCCAATTGCAGCTTTCGCTCAGTTTGACAGCTTTCTCATATAATTTCTCTACATAATTCTTAAGAGATTTCACTAACACGTATGGTCTAGTTGAGGCATCCTTCTTCCTCCTCAGCTTTCTTTTGAGACAGGAACTGCAAACCATAAATCCTACAAATGCAGTTTAACGCTTGGACTAAGACATCCATAGTTCTGGTTCCCATGCAAAGTTTCCACTTGCACCATTACCAGGTGCTGGAAGAAAAATATAACAGAATTTATATTCTCATCATCAGTTTGCTCTGTATGTGGTATACTTGTTGAAGGT